GCACTCGACACGCACGATCTCCGCAGAGGGTTGCGCGTCAAGTCTCCAAAACGAGCGCTTCGTACGAGACTTCCTCAAAAACTCACTCGTCAAAGTCTGCAAAACGAGCGTTTCGTACGAGACTTCCTCCAAAGGTCAAGCGGAAACACCCGTCGGAGCACACACATCACGCAGCCCTGCCAAGCAGTTTCGCGATTCCAGCCCCTCCAAACAACGTCCGCTCACACGCCAATCCCAATGGGACAGCGACATTCACCTCTACCACAACTCACACCCTCACAATTCCCTGCGCCTGCCACGAATCTTTCCGCGTCCACGCGTCTGACGCGCATAAAGTACTGCGCCTGCCACGACGCCACGAGAATCGCACTTCCGCGCCTCAAAGCCCGCACAAAGTCCTGCGCCTGCCACGAAAAGGGACAATATCATCTCATGTGAGCTTCAACAAAATTTGCACCACACCACACGTTTGGAATGATTTCGACCCGTGCACACTCCCATCCACCAAAATCGCCATTTCAGCTGAGAGTTGTCACGAAAACAGCGCTTCGATGCCACACCCTGTAACGCAAATCCCAATGGCACGGCCACATCCAACACCCCAAAAACACGGCTCTCCAAACGCTAATCCCAATGGAACAGCGCAGCAATCTGCCGATCTCACAAAACGCTGCGCCTGTCCAGCGAAACGCATCACGTTTCTCGCGCGACATGTCCTGGTCCAGCAAATCACAATGGAATAGCGGCGCAAACTGACACGTGACACGTCCATGCAAAGTCACTTGCAAAAGCTTCCCCCAATGGCAGCAAATTTGAGACGCGACGACGACGACACGACAACGACAGACGACGACAGGCGACGACAAACGACGAGAGACGACGACAAACGACGACACGACGCAGGCCATGCAAACACAGCTCCAACCCCCAGACCCCCAACTATAAACGGGAACCCTTCGCTACGCATTCGGGAACAACAACATCCACGTGGCTGGTCTGAGCTTCTGTTGCTTCATCCTGGGCTTCAGAGTGGTGATGGGTTCCCATTGTTTCTCCATGATCTGCTTTCAAGATTTGGTTTGTCGGGGTCATGGAACTTATATACATGCTGCATAATCATGTATATTATCATCTACAACACGCTCGCTCTAAGCTCTCACACAGGTACAAGCCAGGTTGGATCAAGAAATCCCACAAAAAGGCGAGACGAGAAGGAACCAAACAAATTGGTGAAGCACGTCTCTGCCCTGATCCAGTCTTTGCATGACTCAATTGGATGTTTCTTGGTTCAGTTCATCTCTGAAAAAGGGCTCCACTACACCTGAGGCTGACCCCCTCAGTTTCCCTAATCTTTTCCCACCTGTTGGATTAACAAAGGTACAACCAACAGGTGCTGCTTCAAAGCTCCAGCCAGGCCGCTGCAGCACCTCTCGCTCATGTACAGTATATAACCTTTTTTGCCACGCGCAGTGGAAAGCTAACGACTGGATGCTATCCTTCAGGATGGGATCTCAACTACTAACCCTTCAAAGCAAACAAAGAAGGACCAAAAACCATGTCACAGCGGGAATCTTTATGGAACCACACAGTGTACGTCACCAATTTTCCCATCTTGTTCGGAGCATCCAGTCTCTAACCCGGGGACTCCTGAGAGTCGGCTCCAATCAGCTGGCATGACAGAATCGAATCTAGGAGCGACATGAACACCTGAAGCACGGGCTTCACAGGTTTTAGCTTCCTTAAAAAACAATCTGTGTAGAACAGTGTGGAACATAGAGACAGAGACACGTAATCTTCGCAATATAAAGACATACTACAGTATCTTGGCGATGGTCAAACCGTGGCGAATCCAGCACATGCATACATAATCATACATGTGTATATATACACATGTGTATATAGTTACATATATATATATATTAACATCATGTAATTAATTGCAGTATATTAAATGAACATCGTCGCTGGAAGTTGACTCATGGAGCTTGGATCCTCTTTCCATTGATCCATGGCTTCACATAATAATGAAACCATATGACACCAACTTTCGATGACCTCCACTGCTTTTCCTCCTTTTTTGGAGGCTGAAACATCGCTTTCGGAATCGGTGATGTCAAAGACTTCACACCAAGACTGTCCTTTCGAGGTCACCCACTGAGACCGAGACCTGTGTTCGGGTCCTTCCCGACCCTCAAGACCAGTTGGAAGGTACTGGCATGAAATGTTTGATCCAAAGACTATCAATCGGATGCACTATACATGACAGAGGGTAACAAAAAAGGGAAGCTGGTGCAGAAATTAGACAAGTCATCCACTATACAGACTACAGAACAGCCTCTAAGCCTCTAATTACATGGAATCTACCTCATGTTTCTTTCAGTCAAACCAGCTGCAAAGGCCACCAGTGTGGCCTGAGGGTATTTACGGCACGCAGCCCTTCAGATCACCTGCCAGCAAACGGTGTCTGGGTCCGGTCATGACACCAGAACACCTGCCATTACCCTGAAAGGGCGGGCCGCCCCGCTTGGCCGAACAGGCCACAAGCCAACCCAGCTGAGCCGCTCCAGTGCGGTCCAACTCCCTTGGTTTTGCTTCTTGGATGAGTTGAACTATGTTCGCTATGTTGAACTTATCGGAATGGCCCCATGGAATATGCTGTGACGCATAGCTGTTCTCTTTGGCGATCGCTGGGCCGTTTCCAAATCTGCGTGCGTATGAGACCATTGGTATCTGTGATGGCTTTTCATATCAACATAATATTGGCTCGCCCCGGAGAATCCGCTGGGAACCCCACCAGCACCTTGTACGGAAAAAGACACAACTGAAGGCTTTATTTGGTTGCGGAGCTCTTAACCCATGCTCCCTTGCCAAACGACTTTCACATACTTCTGTACCTCAAGGTCCCCACCCTGCCTCTGGCATTAGTTCTTGATCCCTCATCGCTCCAACGCTGCGGAAAATCACCCAGCCATTGGAAAGGATTAAGAATCATGAAGTCATGAAGTCATTTTCAGTGCTTGGCCCAATGAGTTAGTTCTTCTTCCTCATCTCTTTGCACCTCTCAGAGCTGAACACACATCACATTCCATCACCTCCTCCCCCATTCTTCGCGTCCTTCCTCCTCCCCCGCTCGCCTCATCGACGCGTCCGGCTCACCGGTCGCCTCCTCGGGCTCTTTCTGGTCCAAGAGCTGCCGATGATGCGACCGGACCATCTCCTCCTGAGGCCCGATGCGGACGGTCCAACGACAAACGGGGGACACACGAGGGAAGAACCGATCCGGATCTCCGCGAAAGCCATCGAAAATAAAACAACAAGTGGATGCAAGTCAGCTGCTAGTTGATTTGATATCAACGACTCGGTTCTCTCAGAGTCTTAGAGTAAACAACTGATGATGGCTTAAAGATAGAGTAGTATCCAAACCCATGGTCAAATAGAAAAGTAGACCAACGCCTGTGGGTTGCAGCCTCTGGTTCTGTTGAGCCCTTCATGATAATCCGGCTTTGGGGCATCAGACTTTTTGACCACCGAAAGCTGGCTCCCTAACGAGCCCATGCCCGATCACGCTCGCATGTCGCGCCCACATGATCTCACCTCCATGGTATCACGCACAAAGAAGCGGTACCTCGGTAGTGCTTCCATTGCTCAATGCGTGTTGATTGGTTGGAACAGGGAGCATGCCGTTGCTGTGCAACTCTCTGCATTGCACATGAAGAATAAGTCAACACCACTGTCAACACCCTGTGTTCGCTCTCAGTGAGGTTCTCTTAGCCGAAGCATGAATTGATGCTGATTGTTATAGAATATAGAATTGTTCGAATGCCCAATGCCCAATCTAGCTTCCAAAGTGTGGGCGGTCATCAGCTGGGGGAGCTCGAGCTTGTGGAGCTTGTGGAGCCCGGCCTTCGAGCTACTCTCCCCCAGCTCATCGCCAAGCAGCACATGTACTTGTTCCTTCTGTCCTTGCCGCCGCACCCGTCCGATGGCCTGACGCTCGGGCGCAGACCCGGACGCATGGCAGACCGACCGATGGGACCTTCCGATACTTGAAGCGGTGGACTGGTCGGGCTTGGTTTGATCCTTTTGTGCAGTGGTTGCAGCTTTCTGTGTCCCAAAATAGTCCCAAAGAACCTAAGACCCCACCTCCAACACCCCGTCTCCAGAGAACAGCCCGAACAAGCTCCTGTACCAAATCCAACTCGTAGACATGACTCACAAGTTTGAACCAAGCGCAAAGCGCTGTTGCACTGGTTAGTTTCCCACACCTCCATGGGTCAACTGAATACACTGCAACTTGTTTTTGACACGTCCCCAACGACACCACTCCAGCTTCCCGCCCTGGCCCGGGGCTGGGAAGGCGGCGGCCTGTCGCTCGAAGCTGAGGGCCGCTTCCTTGCTTTCGGCCAGCATAGGATGCACCAGGATGAGGTGATGGCAGCCTCGGCACGAGTCAGGGATGGTCAGTCGGGGGCAACCCAGAATGAATCAGGCCACCGAAGGCCCCGGCTACTTGAACCGGACATAACACCGTGGCTGTTGAAAGCTTGTTTGATATTGTTTGGTCAATTCCTCAGCCGCTTGGCTACAGCATGAGAGGGAGCGGATACATCTCGAAAACTGAAGCAAGCAACCAAGATCCGTACACGGACGCCCGAATCAGTTGATTGAAATGCACGAAGTAAGCGGTGCGTCGTCGCGGGTAAGCGGCGTTCTCATCCACTGAGGGGTCGGCACACGAGGTTCATTCCAGCTGGACTGCGTTCCAACGAAAGCAGTAAGATGCGATTCTCACGCCTGGCCAACGCACGTAGGTGCGCTGCCCAAAATGGATCCATGACGATTCGGAATCGGGGGGACTGCATAATACAGCGAAAATGGGATCCATGAGTACATTAACTATAATATACTATATTAGCTTTAAGATTACTGTTAATGTACTCAGACTCATGGACCCTCAAGCTGCTACAGATTTGAGTGCCCAGACCCAACATATGAGGGTCAAAATCTTGGTAAAGTTTTCTATAGTGGGCCTTTGATGTTCGGCTCAAGTTGTTGGTTCTCTACAACAGGCTAAGAACATCTAAAAAACTCAGTTGATAAAGCAGTGGGGAATTACATCTGATGCAAACATGTGATGGACACGAACCCGAGGATCGACCACGGGACCACAGGACCACGAGCAGAAGCAGGTCTCGAGGATGACAGGATCCGGAGGCAAGTCGGACGGGGCAGGGCTGGGTTTAGCTTTGACGATTCAAGGCAAATCTTCAAGACCGGCGATCAAAAGCCTCAAGTGAAATCATTGCTCTTGCAGTGACTTGCGTGCAAGGCTGCTTATAGGTCGGTCTATCTTGAAAGCGTCCTTTTGTTGCCCGTGACAGGGTCCAAATCTCAGTAGTAGCCAAGTTACTATATGTTACTATACTATCCTTAGTAATCCTTAGCAACAAAAAGGAGCTTCAGCAAACTCATGCACACCGAACACCCACGGAGCTCCCTGAACGAGACGAGGCTGCTTCACCCCCGTCCGGCCCGTCGACTTCTGGGTTCCCCAGACCCCTCGGCGTGGAACTGCCGGATGACACGGCGCCGCTCGAAGACCGAGCCGTGTAAGGTGAGGCAGGACATGCCCATGGAGGAAAGAGCGCCTTTCATCTTCCTGGGCTTCGGAAAGAGGGCCGTTCACCTATAGGCCTTAACATGGTCTTTCAGTCACCCAAAAAGGAATTTCCCTCACTCCAGTGAGCAGAATAAAGTCAAATAATACTTTATTTAGGGTCGACCAACATTTCACTATTTGCCACCCCCTTTTATTAATCAGAGGTCAACATTATAGACAAATAAACATATTAGGCCGCCCTATATGGCCCTATAATTAGTAATGGACCAAAAAACACACATATCATAGACCCTATAGTCATGAACGTTTTCTCTTTTCAAATCTTTTCAGAACCAAAGTGTCCTGTGTTGGAACGTGATCGGAGGTTGCTGAATGCCGTACCATTTGGGTTTTGATGTTCAGCGACAAAATACCGTACAACAAAGCGAAGTGAAACAAACGCAAAGCAAAAGCAACAAAAAGGAATTGCGCCGACCTGCAAGCAAATCTCTCAAAACTTCTGATGTGGCGTGTATTCCCAGATTTCCCTGTTTTGACACGCCCGCATTCTTGAAGCAATAATAAACATGATGGCAACAAATCAGGCAAACCACCACACAGGAGCCTGCCGAGCATCCCGAGCAATACCTCAAACTGGACGAAAATGATGACCTGCCCATCTCGACTGGTTGGTCTTCAGTCGATGGCATGAGACCGTTTCTTCTCATGGGACGTGTTGACACCGTGCATGTGTTACATTACTGCAAAGTGCAACAACCATATACGAGCTCTGTATGTATATGTATTCTATACCATGAACTAAACTTACCTTGCCATTCTAGCAGCTTTTGTGATCCTGTTCAGCTCTGGCCCTCGCCTTTGCACTGTCTTCTTGTCTCCAAATCTGCTGCAGTTGGCTACAAACAGCCTCCGGTCGAGCCATTCCAGTTGAAAAGTTGGGTGTAAACATTATGCCCGACCAGTGGGGTTGTTGAACTGGGTGCTAAACGCTCTGATCTATTCTGTAACCTATCAAAACAAACCCGACTCCATTTTCATGATGATGTGCAACTCTGTGTGGTATGATGGTGGTTTCTTGTCAACACCATTTGCTGGCATTTGTTCAATAGTGGTGTTTGGGACATGTTTGCTTGTCTGCAGCAAGTAGCAATCATTGAAGTTGACTTATTCCTGAAAAACTACAGCTACAGCAGTCATTGCAAATCAAGAAGCAAAGCAACTGAAGGAATCAGTTTTGCTGGACAGTTGAAGATAGTGCTTGGGAGGTTCTAGGTGTTTCTGTCATAATCTCTGGTTTCCACAATTGTATTCAGTGTGTGCAATTGATATCAACTACACTACACCCGTTGTCGTTTCTTTCAACCACCCGAGCTTGGGCCCCCAACAACTACGGCATCGTTCCGAACCCCCATGCTGCATGTCCCCGGTGGTTCCTTTGCGCTGCGCCGATGGCACTGGGGCGTGCGAAGTATATCGCGCCTCCAGCTTGGACCCAAAGCGCGAGATGCGGCCCTGAGCAGCGGCTTCCTGGACAAACCACCGCGCGCGTCAGGACCGGGCGCCGTTTCATGGCGTTTCTCACCGGTGTTTTGGAGGAACGTTTCTTGAAGAAACGGCTGCTAATTGAAGAAGCCAGGTCCACAGAATAGAAAAGGTATGTGATGGATTTCAAGTGAAGCATTTCTTTCAATATCTCTGACACTCATGGGCTTCGCTAGTCTTTCCGGCAGTCAATCGCTTCAATTGCACCAAAATGATCCAACAAAAACCAGGGAAAAGTGTCCGAACCACCTGCTGTCTCGCCTGGTTTCGGGACAGCACTTCACGGGCCGCGGCCACCCCACCGGGCCAACGAAGGGCGTGGTTGCAAGTGGGGCATTTGCCCTTCTCAGAGACCCAGCCTCGGAGGGTGAGAGGATGTGAATGGATGTGAGATGATGTGTCTCACGGCACCAGTGGTGGCACCAGTGGTTGCTTGTCTGGATTCTTCATGTGCCACCGAGATCATACTTTGCTGATTGTTAGGTAAAACGGTGAAAACAGGACAGCATATAGGACAACTAGACAAAACCATATTGATCCATATTGGTATGTGTATTTTCTTCCTCCTACCTACCCCCAACAAGAGCTTGCCTGAAAAAACACACGTGGACTAGACTCGACAGCCAGTCCTTCGGCCGTGCTTCGGTGCTTCAGTCAAATGCCAAACAAGTATGTTGTGCACAGAATGGCAGTACACAGCAACAAGTTGCAACTATGTTAAATGTTGACACAATTGCAGATTGTGGATGCATCCTCCATTCAGATTGCGAATGACTGATCGTCCACAGAAAACAGCCCGTGCAGGAATCTGACAGCCAATGATGACTAAACCCAAATTATGAAGGCCAACCAACCAAATGCGTCAAACCTCTGGGTGGTTGATCATTAGTACAGAAAAACTCTTTCATGAAGGCATCAACTATCTAGTGATCTAGTGTTTCACTCCTCCACATCCCTCTCAAGACTCTTGGTTCAAATCCCAAGTGGAGTTGCCAAGAACAGTCCGAACGTGATGATTTTAAGTTCTGAGATGGCAAATGTCCTCTCCCTATCACATGATGCACACTATTATTTAGGTTCCTTTTCCGTTCCGGAAATCCATGACATGTTTGACGCAGGTGTTGATGACGAACGCATCCGTCTTAGACTCTAAATGACGCTACGACGTAGATCCTTACCTAGTGGTTAATGGACACCGCTGAACCTCGAACAGGGGCTATAAGTAAACACCCCGAAGTAAGGGGGCCTGGTAGAATGTGGCGACTGGAAATCACCGCCCTGCAGTCTTCGAGAATGCCAAGCAACTGGTAATGCAATCTCTGCCTGGTAGACACACCGACCACGGCCAACACCGGGGTAGGGGGGGTCAACCACTGGCAGTTGGAGATCGTTGTGTGTTCCCAGGGAGTGACCTCCCTGCGAACCTCAAACAGGTTTCATTTGCTACTTCTGTCCAAAAGATGTCTACTTTCAACTCCAAGGAATTGTCTTAATGAATCATATCATGAATAGTAGCCTACTATATATAGCTATCAAGTTGAAGATTCAAGTAAGACTCATCCCTCAAATAGTTACATTGACAGTACATATGGTGTATATAAATATAAATATATATATATACTACCAAATTATGGTGCCCCCGGACCTTACTATAATATCTATAGAGCTCCCTGCCGAGCTTTGGTTGGACTCCAGCACCCGCCGAAGAGAAGCATGGAGAAGTTAGTTCGAGCGACCGTCGAGCGACCCAGAAAGTGTCTGGGCTGAGAACAAGCCGCTTAAGAATATAGTTAGACCCTCCAAACCAGGCATATGGATAAAAAACAACATCTCCAATCACTGAGACATGCTTAGACTCCACACGGTGAGTTGGAGGCCTACCTTGAGGGGATTTGAAGCTAACATGTCTGGAGAAGTTCCTGGAGAATGATGAGAATGTCATGAACTACACCAATTAGACCTACTCTGGAGGTACAAACGAAGCTCTAGGACTCTATGGTTAGTTGGGGGATCCACCAATCGAGTTGCCAGTCCGTGCCGAGCCGAGCCTTAAGCGCCCGAGGCGCTGCGGTTCGGGGCACGTCCGATTCATCAGGCAACCCCCCCGGTGCGTCCCAGGTGGCACCGAACTCGGAGTTTCATGGTGGAACAGTGGAATCTTGTCCAGGACTGTTTCATGTCAACAACTATATAATTGGAGTATTTCTCTTAGGATAGTCCTCTCACCAAGTAACTATTGCAAGAGTCGGCAAGCATCATTTTGACATATTTGGACAAATGTGCTCCAACTGTGCTCTCTGTTGACGTCACAACCCTTTTGCTTCCAGATCTTCCAGGGTGCAAAAGAGATGACCACAGCCAGTGACGCTGCAATCTTCTGGCTCCATGCTGGTCATGCAAATGGGGCAATCCACGCTGTCCTGCGGAGAGGAACCGGTCAAACTTCGTTCCCGAGAATGTTCTGTTTTCCGCCGAACAACACGGTCGAAAACCAGGGATGTCCCCCTACGGTTTTTGGAATGGCCTATCCTTTTGTATCATGTCCCATTATTCCGATCAACAGCTTTCACCCAACACTTCACCGCTCTTCAACTTCCGCAGCATGAATCCGCATGCACTGCGGTCAGTTTCTAGGTACTCTCCCACCAGTTTCCAGGCCTCTACACTACTCTACACCTGGAGAAATCAGTTTTCGGTTATTCCCCTACCGTACCAAGTCCAAGCATAGAGGAGACCTCTTGGAGAGTGCAACGGAATTCCCAGTCTATTCTGGGTCCATCGCTTCTGGGCCGCTCGATCGTTGCAAACATTGCAGGCCCCGGAGAGCGGCCGCTTCAGGTTCCTGGAGGGGCCCCTGAATTTCAGGAGAAGAAGCAAAAAGAACACTCGTTGACCACCCTACCTTCCATGTTGAGTCATAAGCTCCTCGAATTCGCTGGCCGCTGGCCGAGTTCACGCGTCTTTTCCACGGTGTCTCTCGAACGGGGCTGCCGGTGGCGTGTGCGCTCTCTCGATGTTTGTGACGCCTGTTGGTTTCACCGAGAAAAAGCGGGAGAGTCCGGTGGTCAAACCGAAAGGGACCAGAACGATGCGGCAGGCTTTCCGGCATTTTTCTTGTTGATTTGTAGTGACGATGGGCACAGGAGGCTGATCTGCTGCACCCCGAGTTCTGATACAACCGTTGGGCGTTTCGAAACACGGAATACCAGCGGAAGGCGAAACGCGAAACGGAGTAGCCATCCCAGTCTAGATGTGGATGTTCTGTTGAAATAGAGCCAGTGGCCACAGAACTTCCTTGACATTGCTTGGGACTGGACTCACAGATCCTGTGCTCGAAATAGAAACTTTGAGGGGCGTTGGGATTAACCAATCGTTGATCTTTGTCCGGGCATGCCCAACAAAAAGCCCAACCACACGGTTACTGTACGCATCCCCAAATATATATATATATATATATATCCCCCCCGATTCATTCGATCCTGTTCGCTTGTTTGATCCAAGCTTGTCGCCCATGCTCAATTATATACTTCCTTTGATTCTTAGGACTCAGATCGTTCCGCATCTTCGGCTCCAAATGAGCTGGTTTCTGTGTGTGTAACAATTTGCAGGGTTTTAGTGAGACTCATCTGCATTTCCCGTCACCAAATCGTGTTTCCAATTCAACACCGGCCCAATAAACACCGTAGTCTTTCTGAAGGCCAGAACAACCAACAGCTCCTCTCCTGCTCGAGCTTCTTCAGCTCTTTCAGCACTTCCTGCCCGCAACAAGCAAAGCAAACAAAACCAACGGTCAAAGCCTCTCGATCGGGTTGATTTTGTGTTAACTTCTGGGCCGTTTGAGGCAATGATTTTCTATACTCCGTTTGAGAGCCTTCAGGACTTCTCGCAACCTCTCTGGGTGCGGCAAACTGAATGATATGCTGGTCACTGATCGGTCGCTTCTCCTGTTATTTACAAGGAAATTAAACATCCAAAGAGCTGCACTGCTCCTATCTCTCTTTGGGTGGCCCGTCAGTGATTCTCACCTACTTTTCTGAGTGTCCCCATCCTGAAGCCCCAAGTCCATCCGAGTCCGTTGCTCTGGAGCCCATACCGGAATCGCGCAACAAGTTACCCCAAATCACTCCTCAAAGTACCGATTGCGGCTCTCTAAGCGCCGTTCTTTCTGCTTTTGGACGGGCACGGAATGCTGCAGTCGCCTCAACTTCTCCTTGGGTCGGTCGCCCGCACCCGACAGAGTGTTCTTGGTTGATCTTGGTTGCGACATGTCACCCTGCAGGAGATCGTAAACACAAACCAAACTGAACAATCCAAACTTTCTGCCCGGCCTTCTTAGGTGTGGTGTGCTTCCACAGAGTGTTGCTCATGTACATCAAAAAATCGCATCAGTTCCAACTACAGGCTCTGGATGCTCATGACCCTCAATCCATCTCAATCCACCGCCATAGAGTTATCTGGGCGGGCACCTATTTCCCCAACCATGAAGTAAATGAATGGATCCCACAATACCACTTTCGAGAGTACACAAACCATATCAAGATTGCAACAGCATCTACTCTCAGGTCGCATTACTGGCCAAACAGAAAAGAAAAAACACACAAGTTCGCCATCACTGCAGCTTTCGTTCGAGACACAACATCTGAGTGTGCAGTCCTTTTCAAAAAATAGTGTCCGATCCTTTAGATATGGGGATGGCACCTGTTTGGGCTTCGTTCCTGTCATGGTCATCCGAGTCATCCATGGCCATTCACTGCATGATTTCAACACGGACACTTAAAAACCCGCATGGTCCAGCGGTTTACCGCTCCACAACCGGCGAAGAACGGGCCATGGATGGCCCGCTTCAGTTCCTTCACTTCGCCACTCCCACTGCCCGCTGCTTCGCCCTACTTCCTTCGCAAGACTCTTTTCGCTTCTTGGCCTCATCTTCGTTCTTGGCATCGGGCCAACCCAAGGCTTCCTCTCTTTCAAACCTTCCGTGTCCGAACCGAAGGTGGACCGGATGTTGGACCGGCCTGACCGGTCTGTGCACAAGGGCAAAAGGGACCATCTAGGACCGGAATCCTATCAGAAGGGGGTTTACAGGAGACGTGCAAAGTTCTGAATTTGTGTACATGCATCGAGAACTGATCCCACACAGTCACCGATCTACGCAGCCGGCATCCAGCTTGACACACGGGGTAAATTGTGTAAGAAATAGTTCTCAGTAGCAGTGGATTTGCTTGCCTCTTTCCCTGCCGGGAAAAAACAGCAAAAACATAGAGATATTGAAGCTGGTGATGGTTCATCTCAGGAGTGCAACCGTCCTGTACATACAAGTAGCATTGCCTTTGTGCTTTCTGGTTTAAGAGGATTTGTCAAATGGCGTATCGCCAAACCTGTTGGGTGTCAAGTGGAGGCACAGAAAATCTCTAAATCTTCATGCCATGGGCCATGGATGGTTCATGATGGTTCTATGGGAGTCCACCGGATCAGTAACACATACAGAACAGATTCGGATTCACTAACACTGAAGTGGACATGCCCCTCTTTGTAGAGGAAAGGAGTCTTCCAAGGGACTATGCCGTCTAGGATCATCTACGTGTGTTCTATAATAAGTTGTGAACACAAACACAGCTCACTCTGTCGCATCTTACCAAATAGCACAGATCCCCCCGAAACCCGGACTCCTCTTGATCTTCTCCTGGGTCTCTTCCATCTCCTCAGAGAAGAAACGACACAAGTTGGCCAACGTGTGGAACATGTTGGCATGCTTCATGGCAGGATGTGTGTAAGGTGAGGTCCTTTCTGTTCACCAGCGTGGTCTCCCACGCTGGCGGACCGTTCACCCAGACATGATGGAGATCGAATCCCGGCCTGAAGGTATGTGTGTGTTTGTTTCAACCTTTCTCGTGACCAACACAACAATTTCTGAAAGCACTGTCACTGGTTAATCCTAATGAGGGCTTGTTTCCTGTAGAGAGAAAACAACTAATTTCTTGATGCACCACTCTCATGCAAAACATGCACGAAAACATGTCTGATCCGGGAACCGAAACAAAGCAGGCCAAACAATCATAACTGAGGACTGCTGCAGCTTTTGTGCCCGTTGGTCATCTCCGATCTCCTGCCCCCATCAATCAATCACCACCACCAACCCCTGAGTCTATTGATTGTCCACTGGGCACCCCGGACGGTACGGTGCTTAGCCAACTCGAGCTCATTGTCCGAACGCGTGGTGTTGATCGCTGAGGCCATGTCCTCAAATGGCAGCTGGCGCGGAACGGTGGAAGCTGTTTCTTTTTGCAATCGTGGAGCAAGAAACAAGGTCCGAAAAGAAGCTCTCTTGCACCCAATTTTTGTTTGCACATGTTTTACCATGTGAGAACCCGGAACCCCAGTACAGATTTCAATCACCTCTGGTACCAACGTACTCCAGATGTTGTCCCCCCCTCCAAATGACCCGAGTCACCATTCCGTTCCTTTGCTCGGGTTGTGCCACGATGGGACATGACATGGAAACGGGTTCTAATTAGATGGAAAATAGATAGACGGGGAGGGTCTATCATAAACCAACCTTGGGGTGTTCGTGGAAATTGTCTAGCTCAAAGATGGAAGCGGAATCTAAAGCCCCTTGGCAAGCGTGTTCGACTTTGCTTTCATGCTCGTACTTCGAGAGCTTTTCATATGCGAGAAATGGTTTCCGATACATGTGCACACCTGTTACACCTTTTTTGTTGTTATTGGTGTGTATTTGTACTCAATGACGGTTCAAATGGGAAGATTGTGGTGGCTCTTTGATCTCGTCCAAGACCCTTCCCCGCCAGGGGGCATCGTCACGATCATCTGGAGAGAAGAAATTGCAAATCTGCAGCAAAGCCTCCAAGGAAAATGTGCGAGGAGTTGAACTGACAGCAAAGCCTCCATAGTCATTTGATTTCCATATTTATTATATATATATATATTATCTACTATAATATAACTCTATATGTGGCCAGTGGCCGCTCGAAAGTCTAAGTGCTGGCGACAGTAAGCAAACAGGAATGTGTTTGTCAAGATAGAACAAAAGCAAAATACAAATCAATGAAACATGTAAATGTAGAGCCAAGCAAGGGGAAAATTGGGATCCACTGGGAACTCTTCAGTCACGTTCTCTGAAATGATGGGGCCAACCTATATATAGCTTCCCGTTACGCAGCCTCAGCGCTCCCGGAAGCCGTATATAGGTTTCTGTTCTGCTCTCAGGATTGCAAGAAGAATGGTATCAATTCATGGCCCAAGAGTTCATGTTTTACATGCAAAACACATGCTACAGTCCATGACAGTCCCAAAGCCCCTGTGATCGGCTCCCGATCGGTGTTCCACCGCACCGCGCGGTGAGGTTCGTCTACCGAGGCAGCGTTCAAGTACAGGGCACGCTCACCGCCTGACGACCGTCGCAGCGGCAAAAGCGAAACCGTTCGCCCAAACTGGTTGTTTCGGCGGGTGGGACTTGGGATGGCGATGGCATGAGATGGTCATGGCCATGGCATGGAGTCTAGAATCTATCTTGGTATGCTATTACCTTGTAAGGTCCTGGACCAAACATATGTCAATTTCAAGTCGAGACAATCATAACCTTGGAACTGGTTGCCGTGCTTGTTTATTGCTTGTCCTTACAGTCTTCCTGTGTCGCTTCTGCTGCTACTCTGACTCTGACCAGTTCAGATTAAATAAGTTAAACTACCGACCCAAATTTAGGGTTTCAACATGTTTCAAGCTTCAGTCAATAATCAGGTAAAGTTGCTGCATGCCCGTGGACAACCATACACACCATTGTCATCTCATGTATTCTCGTCTCAGTTTGTGCCATTGATGTCATCCGTTGTCTTGTCTTTGTCTTGGATTTGCATTAACTTGATAATATGTGGGAGTCACTGTAAGCTGGACCCATTGCAAGCCCTCGGTCCAGTTGTGTGACTGAAAAGAAAACAAGTGAACAACTGCTTGGCTTGAACTATACATAAGGATCATTTCTTCCAGCCGTGCCCATCAGCCTGTATGGCGCACAGCGATGAGGTGATATTCGATGGGGATGGAGGACCTCAAGGGAAGCGCCTCGCTCGGGTTTAACTTGGATTATATACTAGCTTAAGGAACCAGCAAACAAATATAACATATTACAAAAAGTATTCATAGGCTCATAGGGAAAATGTACCATCCTAAGCAAAACCAGGCCAATGATTGAAGCAGCAGTCGCCCGCCGAACGGTTGGTCGCTCTTCTCCAAGGTTTCCGGGTTTCTTGGGGACTCTTGGAGATCCGACGCCAACGGCGACATGAAGAGCTTTCAACATACGAATGGGCCGGGATCCATGCCCTGGGGAGATGTATCTGAAGTCATCCAAGCCACGGTATCCAGGTGTCCGACAACATGAAGAAGTCCAATGAAAGCGTTATTTATCCTGAATGACTTGAGAAGGCCTTTGCATTGTACGTTCACATCATAAGTAAAACATCTACATTTGTGCCTTGGCGAGTCCTTGCATTGCCATGGCTTGGCATATTTGCACAAGTCTCTGGTACAACGTGGATGCACTGATTGAGGCAACCAGCAACAACTCGGGAACGTTGAACATACAGTAACACAATCAATGAATGCAATGTAGCACCATGCAGCACCGAAAAGGACACATGAACTTCTTGGTAGGTCTAAGCTTGATGAGGCAATATGCTTTCATCTAATTTCTATATGATCATATCACTTCTTTGTCGTCACAGCCATCCAGGAGCCCCAAGCACATCAAGGTCATCGGAACGGACGTACTCGTCCAGGTAGTGCCTCGAGCGATCGTTTCGAGCAAAGCATTTGAGTGATTTGCGCGTCTGGTAGAAAAGTTCCTTTTTGAAAGTTTTGGTCGGTTGGTTTGGAATGCATCCAGCTGTGCAATTGGGCTCTACTGAGCCTCTGGCTGGGCTTCCAAGTCACTGTCGCGGGGCACGAACACCCGATGGAAGCGTGCCTCACAAGGCACAGGTCTTGCATCCGCTTTTGACCATGCGGGGTCGGCGCAAAAAGAGCGTTCGAAAGAACGATCTTGGTCTGGTTTAAAAATAATCCAAACAAAGAATTGTATGGGCTATAAGTTGTATAATATATGGAACATTATAGAACCCATTTGACAATTGATTTGATAGGAAACACATATTTAATATACGTATTTGGGTTGTTGATGGTCTAATGATTGAACTCGAGGTCATTCAGGTTCTAGGCATATATTGCTACTACATGTTTCCACTATATGGCTATAGATGGTCTTGATTCATGATGTAAGGCCTTGCTTTAGGCTTCTAGGCCTTTGTTGGCGCTATGTTGTTATCTAATTTAACAATGGCGGGAGATGAATTGAGCCATTTCATTCTTTCCAACAGCATGGATCCCTCTGAGCCCTAAGACACCTCCGATCCAAACTCCGCATGGTGAGCCGGGTCCTGGTCCGTGTCCAATCGAGACTTCCGTCACTTTCCGGACGCGAACGGCTGAAGAACATGTGTGGGCATTGTGTCTCTCTTCTTCGGAACAACGATCGAACCCCCAAAGAACTTGTTCTACAAGACCGGGAGAACACATGGGCGAGTCAAAACACAAAAACACCGAAAAGGGCCGCTAAACACCGCCGCCCTTTCTGCACTTTTGAGTTCCCTGTCTCATGATATCCTCGACGTCCTCCTTTCCGCTCTGCCTTCACAGGCCAAAGCAAACGACGATCATCGAAGCGGCCAAGCAGCGGCCAAGGTGCTAAGAATGAGACTTCCGCCGCGGAGCTCAAGGGCGGCGTAGCGGTCAAGCCCCAGCGGCTTTCAGCTTCCAGGGCTTCGAAGTTGTGGAACCTTGGAGCGCTTTGTGATATGAAAGGTTGGGTGGTTCACCCTGCAAAAGCTGGTTTAGTTAATGGATCTAAGATCTACCAATGATTCCACCAAAGCCAGGAGGCTTGGGATGCGCCCTGGCGGGCCCTGGTCCAGATCGGATGGGAAAACCGGATTGTGCCATATTGCTACTACATGGGCAAATCAGCTCCAGTCATCATGGGATGAATGAAGTCTGAGCACCGGAAATGCTGATGTCTGAATTTACCATTGGACCATCCCTTAGTCCGTGCTGTTGCATCAAAGAAGTATACAGTATACAGTAAAGAAGTTCCTGTTTTTAAGTCTCTACACATCTTTTGTCCTCCTCTTGAATTTTTTTGCCAGAAAAAGGAGACCTGTCCACATCACCTCCAGAACATCCCTCTCTGCCAGAAACATCAAACATCCAAATGTCTGACAGCCTTGGCACCAATTATATGCAATAGTCGGCCGGGAAACAGAGGTTCGTGACGGTCCAGTTTGGATGACACAGTCCCCATCCGCAGGTAGTTGACATATGCCTATCTATTATATGGGCGCCCTGTACCATCTACTAAAATTACCAATGGTCAATTGACAAGGCAATGAATCGCACTCCCTATAGTTGCGAACGTATTGCTATGGCTCAAGAACCACCCCATCCACCGGACTGTTAACTGGAGATATCAATTAACAGTGGCGTAACACTGGTTCCTGGATCCTATTCTGAGCATCCAACGTCCTCCCTACCGTGCTATCTTCCCTTACAGCAGCAAATGCTGCGCTTGGACGGACTGGTGCACGAAGAAACAAACAAACGCACGCACACACACACACACTTGGAACTTATATACAGTACATATATATAGGGCAGTTTTGCACCCATCTGCAATTTTGCACCCATCTTGCTTGCTCTTGTCATTTCCATGTTGGGACTTGAGATATTATAGCTCACTCAGAGACTCACTCATTACTTTGTTTGCTTACTCGCTGCAAATTCCGAGCCTAATGAGTCTTCGTCGTTTTTCAGAGAACCGCCTCGGTCCGATTTGAGGGAGTCGAATTCCGCAGCTCGGGCACTGCTGCCGGTGCCCTGAACTGCCCAGACACAGGATCCGTGTGTCGGCGGTCAGCTTCTTGTCTCGGAGACCCGCCACATCTCGCAAGGCCTTCTGGGAAGAAAAGGAAAAGAGGCGGCGAGGTGTTTTGGACTGAAGGGCGAGATGTAAATGCATTCTGCTTCTGAGCGATATTCCAAACATCATGATCAGCAAAAACAAACAACACACCACTAAGCGCTCCATGCTGGATCCGCGTTTAGTCCTGATTGGTGTCTTTCTGCTGGACGAAACTATTTCATAGAGTTTCCACCTTTGTTATTCGCCCGAGCACTCTGGGAACTCACTATTGTATATTCACAAGTTGCTCTCTTGAGACTCGTCACCGTGGTAGAGTGTTATAGGTCCAGATCCCAAGATATCCTACATCTGGTATCCCTTCTTTCCGCTAGGTCCGCCAGGTAACAACAATAACACATTCAAAGAAACACTTGAAACGAGCAGTCCAAGCGGCCCGCAGAGGCTCATGCAGCTCGTCCACCACCAAACGGCGCCAATAGAACATCTCCTGAACCATCAGGTGGCCATACCCCCTGGAGGAACTATGGTTACGACCATTTTTGAACCTCCACACGAAATACATCAAGTGGACATGCAGTCAATTCCCTATATGTGGTAAAGCAAGTCAAACTCTTTCACTCTATACTGGTTCATAAGGCCCAATCACACTGAAGGCGTTTAGCTTGACCGATGGAGAACATCAATGGGTCACTTGTGACACAGGGCCCCCCACAAGGTGTCATCTAAACACAAAGGGCATCAACAGCTACCAAAGAGGTCCAGTCACGGTCCAGTCAAAGAAATGGACGTCTTCTTGAATTTGGCTCCTCATACGACGTTTAGAGGAAAATAGACTAAACATTACCAAACACGCACTAGTTGGGGGTCTCGTTGAGTATAGAACATGTTGTGCATGACTCATGCTGATGGTGCCAGTTGATGATTGCTAAATCCAGGGATCTTGATACACAAGCAAAGAGCCTAGGGCCACGTCACTGACAGGTGGTTCCTATGTTGCTGTGGATGACAGTAACACAATGCAAAACCCTTTTGAGGATAGTCACGGATGGTTTCCCGTCAGTTCCATCAAGCTCCAAGGCTTTGTGCACGGAAAAACTTGCAGCTCAAACTTCTCCAATGTTTGCACATGAAATCACACTAGACTTCGTAGTGTCGTAGGTCTACAAAGAACCATTCGGTAACACAGCAATGACATCAATCAAGAACGTTCCAGGAACTGTGCCTAACTTGCAGGAGGCAACAAAACAACCTACTCCCACCCTACAGTGTTCTACAGTACCATAAATTGTTGCGTTCCCCAGTTCATCGTACACCCTGGAGTTTTCACCGCCCTGCGGGGCCAATCAAACTAAGTGACCAAGGGTGGCATTGTGAGGTCGTCGATGTTGGAAGGTTCCTGGCAGAACAGCAATTCCAGGCATCAACGTTTGGAGAGTTGCGAATACGTGGTGACCAATGATTGAGTGGCCTATCTTAATTCTGGTGGCCATTGATTGGGCTGCTGGGCAAAGCCAAGCCAAAGGGATACTCAAAGAAGGGGATGTTCACAAAGCTTTTGCCACAAGGCTCAACGGTTCAACCACAAAAGTACTGTATATATACAAATCACACTTTGCTGAGAAGTGGTTTCAAAATGGTTTGTGACTCCAGCCTCGGCCACTGACCAAAAGACACATGCCCAGCCCCCAACCTTTAATCGCCAAACAATGATATTCTAATGTACCAATTTGTAGCCTGAACCCTCCAGACCTGCCTCAAAGCAATGTAGCTGCATAGTAGCATTGTTTAATTTACGTAGGTGTTTATAGGCTATAGGCTACAGGAAACACCAAGCTCTGGCACGAGTTATCAGAAGTCGCACCTCAAACCTCCACCGAACCTGCACCGAGTCTTCACCGCGCCCTCGCCTGGCGCAGCAAGGCCTCCGTCCGCTGGCGCAAGCGCCAGCGGCGCCGGATCAGCCGCTCCGAGGTCACCTCCGGAGACCTCACCGCAGCGGTGCGACCGTGCTTCCCAACTTCAAAAGACCAGAGCGGTTGGACCGTTTCAAGCTTGGAGTCTGAAGACCTGGCACTGGTTGAAAAAGAGGTCCAAAATGAAGCTAATTTTTGGCTGCACTTGTTGAGGCAAAACTCACAAGTTCCATGTACAAAACTAGCTGTTCCATTGCAATTTCCTAGAATAGCAGGAACTTGAATTTTTTTACCAATGCGTAACGAAGGGTTCTGGTTCAGTGTAAATAGAGCTGTGTTTGCGAGGCGTGTGGGACTGTGCTGTGCGTGCCAGCGTTCGCAAGCCGACGCGTGGACCCGCTAAGGCCGTGCAATTGGAGTAAGCTTTTGGAGGAGGTATCGAGGCATCGACGCATACCAACTCACTGTGCAGGTGGAACATTTTGTGAAGTCAGCACTTCGTGTCGCAGTGCCCTTGGGATTGGCTTTGCAGGATGGTGTTTGGAGGTGTTGGGTGTCGCTGTGCCATTTGGATTTTTTCTTGAAGGGGTAGCTTCATTCCAAACGCGTGTTTGCACGTGTTAAGGTGTGTTTTCGTGGCAAACGCAAAGAATCCGTGAGGTTCTGATGTTTGGTGGGGCTGAATGTGGCTGTGCCATTGGGATTGAGGGAGCTTTGATTGCGAAACTGCTTGGCCTGCGAGGATACCCTCACACGGAAAGTAGCTTCTGGTAGTTCTGGGCCTGGGCTTGGAGCTATAGCAACTTTGCAGTACAAGTGGGGAATGGGGAGTGGCTCCTGGAGATCCAGGCTTTGCGCGGCGAAATTACGTCCGCGATGTCGTTGCTGTGCCGCTTTGGCGCAGCCTCGGTGGAAAGTGCGTGGCTCCGTGGCTCCGCGCTATGGGGGACAAAGGAACATGCGTGCGTAAGGTGTAAACGTGGCGTGTCACTGGTGCAGGGATGATTTGTGGTGTCAACGAGGTGTGCGACAAGAGTCTCCGACAAAAAATGCCCCAGAACCTACAAGAGTGCTCACGGACTGTCCCACAAGAATGTCCTGGCAGGATGCCTCACAAGTGCCCTTTTAGAGGACCCTAGAAGAGTGTCCCAAAGGAATGTCCCGCAAAAGTTACCTACCAAAGTATCTCGCAAGAATGGCCTACAAAAGTGGCCCACAAGAGTGTCCTCCAAAGGCGTCGTGCAAAAGAATGTCCAGCAAGAGTGTCTTACAAGGGTTTCTTCCAAGAGTCTCCCGCAAGAGTGTTCCACAAGAGTATCCTACAAGGGTGTCCTTGCACGCATAGTGTTTTACAAGAGTGTTCCACAAGATGGTCCTACATGGTCCTGCAAGAGTTTCCCCAAGAGTGTCTGTCTCCTGCAAGAGTATTCAGCAAGAGTGTCCCACATGTGCGTGTGTGTCACACTCTGTTCCAAAGAGTTTCTGTTTTGTTCAAATCGCAGGGGACCAGGCAGGATGCATCGTCGCCTGGTCAACGAAGCTGGCGATGCATCCGAGGATATGGAAATGGGACGCCATTTCCACGTACCTGCTAAAAATTGTTGTTTGCGCTGTGACTCCACTTTTCCTTTTTTGTTTCCATGGTGGTTCTTCGCATGATATCCCCCAAAACAGGTTTCCTTAGCTTTGGTAAAGTGCTAGTGAGTTCGTTAAACAGTTCTGTTCTTCGGACCCTTTCGCCTTACCGTGTTTGCAGTAAAGTGCTAATGCAGTAACTAGCTTCCGCAGTCACGCAAAACTCTTGTTCAACATTTCAAGTGCGCGGACCCTTTCACCTTACGGTTCCATCAGCCATTTCCTGAGGAATTGAGTTATAACTGCAAACCCATTGTCAAAGTGTGTGCCGCTCTGCCTTTCCACTTGGGCGCAGGGTGTGATCCCCCGCAAGGGGGCGCTGTCTTCACTCCGGAGTATCGTGTAGCTGATTCAGCGGACTTTCTGCACGCGTTGGATTCTCTTAACAAGCCGCCGGGCTTCACGGTGTTTTTGAGACAAACCGCCGGGTCAACGGAGCATAAACCCCGACGTGTTTTCTACCCCAAACACCCCAACCCCTCCCACCCACTAATTAGGGTAACAGAGGGAAATGGTACTCGACACACTTGTGTGTCGGTGCCTTTCCCTCGTTCGTCCCTTTTCTAGTCTACTCTACCCGGGCGGTTTAAGACTAAAGTCCCGCTCCCTAACTATTGCACTTAATTCATTTCTGCTAAGTAATCAGTAAATCTAGACTGCTAAGTATTCATACACACACACGGACACACACATGTACATACACCTCCCTGCCCCCCGCTTTCTTTCCTGCGCTTTTGGTCGCTTCTTGGGCTTTCTTTTAGGCTTTTTAGGTAGTTCTTGAGGCTCGTTTCCCTACCCCAGTCAAGGGCAAAGTAGTCACTTTTCGCTACACCTATCTTTCTCTCTTGCTCTTTTAGCGCTGCTCTTGCTGGTTTTCTTTCTCTTGTTTCTAAGGCTTTTTAGGTGCCTATATAGGTTTTCTGCGAGAGCGCCGCAAAGCGGCTGAGTGTGTGTGTCACACTCTGTTCCAAAGACTTTCTGTTTTGTTCAAATCGCAGGGGACCAGGCAGGATGCATCGTCGCCTGGTCAACGAAGCTGGCGATGCATCCGAGGATATGGAAATGGGACGCCATTTCCACGTACCTGCTAAAAACTGTTGTTTGCGCTGTGACTCCACTTTTCCTTTTTTGCTTCCATGGTGGTTCTTCGCATGATATCCCCCAAAACAGGTTTCCTTAGCTTTGGTAAAGTGCTAGTGAGTTCGTTAAACAGTTCTGTTCTTCGGACCCTTTCGCCTTACCGTGTTTGCAGTAAAGTGCTACTAGCTTCCGCAGTCACGCAAAACTCTTGTTCAACATTTCAAGTGCGCGGACCCTTTCACCTTACGGTTCCATCAGCCATTTTCCTGAGGAATTGAGTTGACTGCAAACCCATTGTCAAAGTGTGTGCGGCACAAAAGCGTCTCCTTTTGGAAGAGTGTCGCACAAGCGTGTCAAGGAAAAGTCTCGCGCAATCTTTGCCTACCAAAGTGTCTTAGAAGAGCGTCACACCAGGATGTTCTTGAAGAGTCTTTGAAGAGTCTGTGAAGAGTGTCAAGCAATAGTTTGAAAGGTCGCTTTACGTGTTCGACAGAAACGGGTTCGTGGGCTCAATCACGTTGTCTTGGGGTGATCGTTTCATCTTTTCCCAGATTCGTCTCTCAGTTCCAAACCATCCGAAAACAATGAACCAATTAGTGGATGCGGCACCCTCAACAAGTGGATGCGGCACCCTCAACAGTTCAACATCACTCCAGCTGGCTAAATTCCACACAAGCCAACACAACCCAACACCATGTCGCGTCCATACTGGCCAAATCAATTGTTTTTTGGGGCAGGACCGCCCCTCTCCCCCTCTCCTTCAAAAGACCACACCTGCGTGCATGTGTGTCCTGTGTCCCGCATAAACAAATACATCTTGTCGTCGAGACACTTCTTGGTCTTCTTGTCGCTGAAGTCTTTGAGCTTTGGCTCAGGCCCCAGGCTTGGCACTCCAACCTCCCGGAAGCGCGGATTGTTCCTCGAGATGTGGGCGAATGCGCGAGCCGCCAACATGCGAAGTCCTTTTCCGTGGACGGACCTGGGGACCTCAGGGACCTAAATGATGCTGGAAATCTAGCCTTGAGGGCACAAGCTATCTCAAGCACCATTCTAACGCACCTACAAGCGATGGCCTCCAACCTAATAGCGATGACCTCCTGCTGGGTGAACCTGATTCCAATTCACCACATTTCGAAGCCAAGGTACTCCAAGTTGCCCCACATGCGATGGAGCGCCTCGATGTATTGTTTCTTCTGGCACCACTTCCTCAGAGCTCCAAACCGGCCTGGGGTGTTCTGGTTGGCTTCCATGTTCGCTTGTGGGTTGCAGGATGGGACAGTCTTTGCCACCATTTTCGGCTTTGGGATTCTTAATTGAACTTCGTTGTCAACTCCTCCACATGGTGAAAAATCATAAAACAAACTGATATGGGCGTTCAATCATCACAGTACCTTGTTTCATTTCATGTCCGAATGCTGTTATAAAAACTATCTCCCCATGAAAGGGCACCAAATGATCAATATCAATCAACCCGATGGCTCTGAAGCACAGAAGAACAGAATTGAATCTTCATAAATTGAACGCTCTGAGGCGAAGGAGCCAAAGTGAATCTTACAAGTTTATACAAGTTTCATGTCATCACATCATATATAGGTTGATCAATTCAGAAGGAAATCGGGGTTGCATCCCCTCATCAAGCTGGTTCTTGCAAGGGTACCATTGCCAAACCCACAACTAATCCTGGGCCGTGTGTGAGTCCACATGACTTCCATACCAGGCCGGGACGAGCTGTTGCGAGTCGGCTGTCCGCTGGCCGGGGAAAGAAGCGCCGGAATGGCCGTCTACTGGAAGCGTTGCCGCCAAAAAGCTCGTGTCTACGGGAGTGTCTTTTCAGGCACAAGAACCAGGCACATGAAGCATCATGAACTTGGTTCACAAAGGTGTTGATGCACCCAATTAGGCATACTTCAGACTGGATCTAGGGACCTATAGCAAGGACCGACTTAAACGTTCAACAAAAAATAACATGCAAACCCAAGTGGATCCGCATCGGTCGCCACGCCGTTTCGTTCGCACCGGCCGTCAGGATCGTTCGCGACAGACGCGGTCGGTCGTCCGGATCGATCTCGCGGCGCGACGTCCGATGTCCACGGTCAGAAGAACAAAGGTTGAAGAATTCCTGGTTCGACGATCCCAAAGGATCCCATAGGTACTGGTAGCAAGAAGCATGCTTACTAGTAGCAAGAAGCTACTACGTAGGTGGAGGCCATCGCTAGTACCCCAGGTGACGGGTCCTTGTTTTTCACTGGATCTTCAAACGGCATAAATGTTGGCAAGCATTTTACAGTGAAAAAAAACGTAATCAAAACAACACCTGCCGTTTTTAGGGGTTGCAAACATGTGCTCAAAATCCATGGGCGGGGAAAGACGCCGTTTGGACTCGTAAAGATGCTGTTTTGAAGCCAAAATGTGCCGCTTCTTTTTGGATTCTGCCGGTTTCCGCTGGTGAAAATGAAAATAATACCGCAGCAACTAGTAACAACTGCAGTTTTTCTTGAAGGAGCAATTATTTGAAGCCGTTTCAAAGATCCAGGTATAGTTTAACCTCTGGACAACAACAAGAACCAACAGCTCCACGGTCCGCTCTGAGCGTCTTCCGGGCTTCCTCGTACACTTTGGATGCAGGAATCACCTCATCTCGCGAGTCGGCGACGTCCGCACGTCGTCGTCGAAGCGGAGCCATCGTCGTCTCATGCGAAAGAGAGTGAGGACTCCGGTGTAGTACAGCATCCAATGAATCACAAGAAAGAGCAAGTGAGGCATGTTCAAAGCATGGAACAGGAAGAGTGTGAAGAAATTTGAAGAAATATTCATAAATATTCTGACTAGGGGATTCATGGGAATTCGAGCATCCTACAGTGAACTAATCTGTTCTGAAAAGAAGAGAGTGTCAAGACCAAAATCATGGGCCCAAACAACAAGTGGGAGATCAATTAAGGCCCTTTTCTTAATGCTCGGTTCATCTCGGTTCCTTATCATGGACACTTCAAGGTGAAGAGGGCTTGAACCTGCTGTGCAGCGTCAGAACCCTCCATTGGAGGGTCCAATATGGTCCAATTTGTTAGGATTTCCGCATTTTAAAGGGCTTAGGGGAGTTAGGGTTTGGTTCGGTTACAGGGTAAGGGTTTCCAATTGGTGCAATGGATTAGGGTTTCTCAGAAGCCCTTCGACTCTGGGAAAAGGTCCTTCGTTTGACTTGGACAGGGTGCCACATCCGTGGGACCCTCCAACCCAGCCGCGGCATCCAAATGCTCCTGCCAGTTACTTGTGGTTAGTGTTTGGTCAAAGCTGTAGCCCAAGCACACTGGCTTGCAGATGTTTGTAAATGAACTGCCATCCCCATGATTCATGATGCGTCAGTTTCCACGCTACAGAACCACTGATTAATCAACCACCGCTACGGTCCGCACGGTCAGCGCGGGCCGTCCACACTCGTGTCCTGATACTTCACGGAGCTCAACAGACGCAAGCTCACCAAGACGATGTCGGCCGTGCGCAGCTGCCGTACGGTGCATTGCTTCAAGGTCGACAGCGAGGCGATGGCCACCGTCTGCGAGGCGACAAACCGATGGGCGGCGAAAATGGAAGGGGCGACAGCTCAGTAAATGGAGAGCAGAAACAAAACTGATTGGGGCATGCTGATTGGACTACTGGTTGGTAAGTTGATTGGTTGGAAACAGGCCGAAGGTCACCCTTCCAGTCAACGTGGTGTCAAAATCAAAGAAACACAAACATACACAAACTGACTACCTGAGTAATTGTTTTTTTTGGGGGTATTCACTTGTGACCCACACACACAAAGACAAACACACACACAGGAGGAATGGTCAAAACCAACTGACCCCTCAAAAGAAATTCAGATTCTTGGTGAGTTCCTATGATTGCAGTCACTTCCCTATCTCCAACTAGCCAGCAACTGCATGGATCATCTCTCTGTCTTAATGTCGGAGCTTTCCACCTGCTCACGCAGGGAATCGATTCCCCAGAGAGGGCACTCTAGAAGCCAATCGGGGGGTTGATAACCACGCTATGCTCGAAAAATACTGCAAATACCACAAGCATTCCAGTGAGTCTTCTCAGGGAAAAGGCCATTTCAAACAGAATTTGTCATTTTCTGAAGGTTTACTAGACAGCTGCTTTCTTCAAAGCTCTTGATAATTAGAATTCCACTCTCTTCCACAGCCTCATCTCTGTCACATGTATTCACATGTAAGACTACTCATACAACAAAAAGAATTGGGCAGTCGTGCGTTGTTCTGTGCCCCCAAAGGGCCGGCCTTGATTTCAGGAGACAGGAACTTCTTGATCTCGCCCTGCCACTGATCAAACCTTGAAGGGCACGGGTTTGGGTCGCCGGCGGCTGCAGCATTTCACTGTACAAGCGAAGGCGGTGGAACAGCGTTTGGCTACTTGTTTGGCTTTCGGTTGGTAGAGGATACATCAGAAAGCACCAATCGAATCCCCCAATGCAGTTTTTATCCACACAATCGGATGGGAAGAGACTACCCCCAGCGAATCCAGCCAATCGACTGAACATCGTTCAACGACATTAAAAAAATGAAGAAGCGCTCGAAACGTTCACCTTGCAACGCAGCAACATTGTTTCATATTGTTTCTATGTGTTTATTATCTGAACAAACAAACACTTGATGTCTTTGGTCGTCTCCAGTGACTCCAGTCTCCAAGCTGCAGATTCGGTGGCAGCATCACCAACGTTGCCCTGGAGCGCAGAAGTTTCTGGTGTATGCTGGGGAATGGCATGGGCGGCGAAGGCGTCAAGGCAATCAATGCCAAGACTGAGGCCGTCTTCCCATAGCCCACCTTGGTATCCAACAGTCAGCAGAACTCTCAACTGATCTAGAAAAGTCTTCGATCGTGCAACACTTCAGTTCGTCACAATGGGCATGAGCCGTAGAGAGTACTAACCACAAAGGACCATGGTGTTTTTGATGGGTACAAGTAAAAATCAACATCACGGTTCAATCTGAAGCAGGGTTGGTTGTTGTTGACCACGCTGTGCGGGAACCCTCTCCATCGAGTCGGGCATTTCACCAATCTAATCGATCTGGCGCTCTCCAAATAACCTGCGAAGAGACACGGGTAGGAACAAAAACACACACTTATGACTTTGCATACTGAACTGGAAGCGGTGCCACACGCCAGCCTAAGTGAAAAACCTAAGAAACCAAGGCGAGTAAAGGGAAAACTCCACCAATCTCCAAAGCTGAAAGTTCTGAAGTCACGGTCTCCAAAGCTCAACGACGGTGAGGTCAGCACTAGACAATTACTGCAAAACACAGAATTGGAACAGCTAGTCCATTACGTAGGTTTCCTTCCAAGCAGGTACGTCAATCCGGCGTCCCGGATTGATTTCGCAGATGCAACACTGGCGTCTTCGTTGGTGCCAGTCCAGTGTGCATCCCTGGCACCCCCCTGCCAAAGCAATTCAAAAGAATCCCTGTGACTGCAAGGGGCACACACACAACCTCAAACAGTGTCACCTCCATCCAAAAATACAAAACTTATATACCCCATACTACGCCATATACTACAGTCCGTCAACATCTCCCTTTTGGAAAAGAAACAGCTGCTACCGCTGCTCGACCACTTCCTTCGGGTGGTCCTTTGGGAGTCGCACTGCCGAGGCGCGGCATCTGCCAGGAGTCCTCCCTTCGCATCAGCGAACAAGCGTTCCACCTGCGCAAGCGAAAAAAGGACCCCACGAAACCACATGGGCCCTGAAGATCACCAGGGTGTGCCAAACGTCCAAACGAAACCTGTTTGCTCTATTACAGAATGCACGTGTGGGATGTTGAGGGCTGACACAAGCTGCGCCGTATGACAACCACACTGGGCAGTGTCTGGCTCCTGCAAAAAGAGTTAACATATGACGTCACACATGCATGCACCTCTAGTTAAACCAGCTAAATTGTGAGTGCCCCTAATAAGGAACGACCCATGTGCCATCCGGATCATGCATCACATATCTCCCCTGCCAGCTCAGACTGCAAAAACAACTCCCACCCTCTGCCTTCAGTTGCACGCTGACATCCTTGGGTTGCCCGCGGTCACTCGGTGATGGAAAACTGAAAACCCCCTGCGTAGGACGTCCTACACCTGCAGGATCCTGCTGCGTAGGAGTTACTTGGACCCACCTCCAACCTGCTTTTTCAAGCCAATCAGAAAGGTCCAATACCATTTTGGATTGTGAGCAGAAGAGGCCACGTGTCGGTCACGCACACACAGCATAGAGACTTGACTACATCTTCGCAAGCATTGGAATCTTTTGCGTTGCGGATGGACCTGACCAACTCTCAGTAACGCTTTCATGAGTCAGCCAGGAACATTCCAGCAGAGTCCTGTCTCTGCACCAACACTCTGGCCATTACGCATTTTCGTATCTCTGTGATGACCCCCAAGAGTCTCCAGGTGTCTTTCTCCCCACATCTCCTCCCACCAAGCGGCCGATTTCCCCATCTGTCGACTCAAGCGCTGCACGGACACGAAGCCGTGAAAGGCCGTGTCGTTTTGGGCAGCTCCGCTGATGGCCACACCCTCTCGACTGGCCATCCAGAAAACCGTCCTGACCGGTGAAGTGGCTTGGGAGTGTGCCGAAGTGTGGTATGGACCAATCATGTGTCTGGAAAGCAGGGGAACTCAACGAGAAGTTCTGGGTACACATACAGGGATGATTTTGGGGTGTATGGAAGTTATCTTTGCTGGCTTGCAATTTAGGTGGTAGATGGTGGTAGTGTGTCTTTGTTTAGGGGTTGATATTAACATGCGAGCAAGGGAGGCGTTTTGTCACAACCTATAGCATCCATTCGGCCAGTCACATCAGGGAATTGACGATTCTTGCCCTCATAGTTAGATGTTGGTTTGCCTTCACAGCTGGACTTCAGTAAGACTTAAAGTATGTTGGCCTCCGTGGCATGTGGCAGCAGCGACGAACAAACTGCACTTGGCCAGATTCCGAGAGCCACCCCGTCGCTCACAAGCAGTAACGATCGCTTGAAGAGGAACATGGATGTGGCATGATGTGGGAGATCCTCAAAACTTAAAATTCAGTCGGTTGGAATCCATGTGTCCTACGTGTTGAACAGAAACAAACCACTTACAGTACCGTATACCTGGATGCTCCTCATGGTCAACGAACCAACGTCAGCTGTTTCTGTCGGCTTCGTTCTGTCGACACGTTTGCCGGTCCCAGGCTCCTCCGTTGATTGTGATGGAGTGGCAGGAGGAACCGGGGTGGAGTTGCAGGAACCTGGAAGACACAGAACTGCCCAGGATGGGACGCAGTTGGGAGATCGAAGCAGCAAGGGACTATGCAAGAGTTTCATCACTGGTAAAGGCTAAAATGCAACTCTCTTCTCTGGAGCATACTTGCGATGAAACACTCATGTTTTGCGATGAAACACTCGTGGTTCACCTTACATGATGCGCGCGTGCTGAGTGTTCGATAATGCTACCCCAAGGTTGCCCAAACAAATTTGCCAAACCTTATCCCTTGCATTCCTGGAGGGTTGGTTCTGTGCAAACAATAAATAATGGCTGAATAACAGTGCAATACAGTGCATGATGTTGGTCATTTCCAATGCACATGAGTCAAGAAATGCACTTTAAAAGAGAGTGGGCGCAGTTGTCTTCAATCAACTAATGGGAGAACTGCCTCAGCTATAGCAGCGCAAGAGAGGAGGGAGAAGCGCACAGCGCCCGTCCTCAGCGAACGTGGTCAAGCTCTAGAACTTGACCCATCCCCTATGTCTGTAGAAAAGTCTGAACATGTTTACATGTTACATGTCTCATGGCCACGCTTGCCGTTGTGATGCCGGTATGCGATGTCAACCGCTCCAATTCGAGCTTTCCCGGTTTCGCACTGTGTGAAGCTGTCGACATGGACAAATGAGGAACAATGGATCTTGCAAAAACAAAAGACCTCCTCTTCCTCTGCAAACGGAAGCCTCTAAATACCCGTCAATGTCACTGAGAGGGTCTCCCAACTCAGAGGGACAAACCCTGGGGGGGTCAATGTCTACTGGCCACCCCAAGTTCAGCGACGTGACGAACTTAGCCCATCGACTTGACTTTGTGGGGTTTCACCCCCCTATCGCAGAAGTCGAACCAGTCAGTCAACGTCGACGTCGACGCCCACGTTCGACCCTTCGCTAGTCCGGCACCGAGGGAAAGTACCGTGACCGAAGAGAGACTTCGGACGGCCACGAAAAGGCCAAGTTCGGTCACAAGCAGAGACTCAAAAAGGGTCACTGTGAAGGTCCCGGTACTTAGATGTGGCATACGTTCGCTAAGATCGTAGAAAATGGATGCTGAGATCTTTGAATGAAATTGCAACTCGTACCGCGATGTTGTGCAACCAAATCGAACCCGTCAACTTAATGGCAAATAAATCTAGAAACAAAAAACAACCTTAAGAACCATTTGCTTTGTAGGAGTTTGCTCCGGAAACTTGTGAAACAGCCAAAATCCTTCAGTTCCACAATACGTTCCTAACATGTACAATAAATATGTGGATACCAACTAAAACGCTTCTAAAATCTTCTAATAAATCAACAATCCAACAATTCCCATGTTTTGTTCCCCAACTTCCTCCAACCTCTACGTACAGAGTGTTTTCTTCGTCCGAGGTGCACGTCCTTCATCTCCGGGAGCACCTCCGCCTGACGTCGCCGCTTGGAGGGCCGCGAGGATGTGGCACCGCCGCCAACCGCGTCCTCGGTGCGAAGAGGTGGATGACGGTTCGGTGGTGGTAGGTGGTAGGTACTTAGTATCGAACATGGACCAAATATGATCAAATAGCTTGAAGAGGTGAAGAAACCAACTGCTTGGATGTTGAAGTCTTTAGTAAATATAGAGATGAAACACTGGGAGAACCCAGTTGCACTGGGCAGCTTCGTTCTGGCTGCAACTCTTGGCACCATTGCAGTCTGTCTTGCTTTGCAAAACCTTTTCTAGCAAGGCATCAATATGTATGTTGTTCTTCTTTAGCGAGCCAGCCCATCGTGTGAACGCATTCCTGTCTATTACCAGCACCTCCTGGTTCTAAATCTGGTGAAGGACAACGTGCTATAATATATATATATATAATTTTCACTGTTCTGAAAACTATGCAGTTGCAAATTCCATGAGTAAACACTCAAAGTAAATAGTCATTGCCCTCCTCACGATTATGGAACGCGTCAGCGGCGTCATCAAACAGAAAATACACCACTAGTAGCTCATGTCATTTCCAGCGACCAGGCACTGCCTCTTCGTCAGGTTCCTGGCGACCAGTTTCTGTCCGCACCACCGGGGCACCAGTCCCGATGTCTGTCCAGTCATATGGCTGAGAGTCAAACCAGGACCCTCGGTGGTTTCAGGGGAGAAGCGGTGTTTTGACTCACTTGAGCATCAAAATGAACATCAAGATGTACATCAATAAACATAGATGAGATCATTTGAGCATCGCAAAACACATGTAGCCTAAGGGCATCACCGAAATAAAACATTCGAATGGGTCGGCTCAAATAGTTTAAGTATGTTTAAGGACTGAGGACACTATACATCCAAAGAATAATCCTTAAACATCCTTTCAGTCCTTTACTATCCTTTACTTAGATGTACAACATCAAAAGGATCACGCAGCTTGGAGCATCCCAGCATCCCTGAATCCGGGTCACCAGGACAGTCACAAGATAAACCTGCTAGACGAAAGGCGAGGTGGCGAGGTTCTAAAGCCGAGTCAGGTTCTGTTTCTTATACTTACTATCATACTGCTGGCTCAAATGGGTTTGGGAACTACACCAGCAACAAAAGAACGCCTTTTCCCGACCGCAGCATCGCGGGGCACAATCTGGCAGGCCTCTTCTGCTTCATTCGGGCCATCATCCTGGAAAACCCGCATGCAGTCGGAAGAAACCGGAATGCTATCAAGCCTCGGAATGTCGTTCAAAAGGCCAGGTGCATGTCGAGAGACAAAACCATGGTAGCCATAGCCATAGCCTTGTATTGAATTCAATCCGGATGTGGTTGAGTGAAACCTCTAGAGAGCCAAACAAAACACGGAACCATCCAGCGTTTGGAAGCAAATACAAACTTTTACTTGGATTCAGCCTGATTCAGCTGCTGAACAAAGACCATGTGTTCATATATATGTGTTCTATTCTTTTCTGCATCCAAATCTCCCACCATGCAATTGAAAAAAACAATGCCCACATCTTCGGAGTTTTGAGCCCACTTTCAGCCCACCACTCACAGACTCCTTGTCAATCTCTTGCTCTGCATTTGCCTCGTCGCGCAGCGTGCTGTGCCCGTCACGTTCGCGAAACGTGAAGAAGAAACCAATCACATATGACGTGGTTACTTTGAACCATAAGCTTCCACGACTGCAGTTTTGGCTTCCGCGGGCAAGTTGGAGTTTACAAGTTTGTTAAAACGGTTCATGAGAGGTTTTTGACGCTGCTCGTGTGGAGATGCCTGTTCCACCAATTCCATGGAACACAGCAACAGGGGGCGTGGCCGGGGAACCATATCTGAATTCACCTTTTTGTATACCCACAACCCACTAAAAATGGGACTAGCAAACTAGCAGTTTTCTAGAATGATGCAAGTCTTCTTGTCCCCGACTGTATTGTGAAAGAGCGTGACTGAGCATTACAAAAACATACCAGTATTGGCAAATATCAAAGAACTACTGTATCACATACGTTATACATCCCCACATGCTTTTGACATATTGTTAGGTCAAAATGTTCACACGTATCCAGGAGCCTGTCTGCAACTTGAGAGATCGACCCAGGACAACCCAGAAATCATCTGCAACAGCGCAAGTGCGGTGCGGTGCCTCACCATCATCTTTCAGCGCATTGGTGACTCTGACGAAGGCCTATGCGAGAAAAAAAGATGTGTCCTCTACACGACTACAGCACCGGCACCTTTGATGTGTCCTCCGTAGTGTCCTCTAAATGGCTTAGTTTCTGTCACTGTGCCACTTGAAGGGGATGATGAGGATGACACATACATCATTGACTGATGATCTGTCGTTGCTATTAAAGGTAGCTTGGCAAGCACACGGGCAGTGCCTCCACCCGCAACTGCCGACCGAATCCGATGCATCGCCGCTTAGCGGTCAGGGACGTGCTCTGACAGTGATTAACTGACCAAACACATCTTCCCTGGCTCCTCTACTACTTGAACCTCCAAAAGCTCCTTAAAAGGTCAGAACCGGATTCTTTTTTAGCCGAAGGTGGGCAGTCCGAGTGAACTGACGTTTGGGTTCTCATCATTTCAGTCACTCAGTCAGATTGGTCATTTTGGACCCCTGGATAAATTGACTGTGGCTCTAGATGAAATTATCAATTATCAACTCTTTCAAAAGCCAGCAGTGTGCCACAGTGAAGGACCCTCAAAAAGTATGTCAAGTGCCGGACATCCTCCAACATTTACTGCTCATCAATGAGTGATCAAACGGACGGTTGATGAATCCCAAATGCAAAACATTCTTTTTCCGAATCCTGCCTTGCTATCGAGTCTTTCTCACAGGCAACCGCCCGGGCCCCTCCCGAGGTCGCCAGTGCCTTTAAGCGGTCGCAGGGAAATCCAGCCGCATATTCCGCCACCTGTGTATTCCGCCGTGGCAGGAGGCTGAACGCATGTGAGGAATGCGAGACAAAGCCAGAAGAAAGAACAAGGTGTGTGTGTGTGTGTTACGTATCTATTAAAAGTGACAAATCGTGCTGTTTGAGCACACAAGGGGTCTCATGACCTGATTCCAATTGAACTGTGGAACCTTGGACTGACGGTCTTAACAATTTACAGTATTTTTAAGGCATAATTTATACTAAACTGGTCCCAAGCAGTCAGCTTACCCCTACCCTACAAGAACCTGTCAGTCTTGGAACCACCCTCTTAGTACACACAGTAGGGTATTGTCAACAACCTGCTAGTTAGCTCAGTCGAGTCTAATCTTTTAATATGACTTATGCAATGCATCCCTGGTTGGCTCATGTGAAAGAGATTTCAACGATGTCAGCACCAACCCCTCATAAACACTCCAAAGCCGTCCTCGACTCGACATCGCACAAAATGGATCAACCAGTTTCATGCATGAATCAGATGGGCTTGGTCGAGCTGGAGTTAATATACTGTAATATATATATATATACCTTTCATCCCTGGGCTTGAGGTCACTTGAAGAAGCTGGTAGAGAGATCGATAGATAGATAGATAGAGAGAGAGAGCACTTAGTTCATTGTTTGATCCACAACCAAGTGGCACCAAACCACACCACTTAGTATTGTATGTAAACATGAAAGCTCCGGTCAACGGGTGGGATGGTAAGGCGATATGCCGAGTACAATGCCGGGGTTGGGAGGCGAAACACGACCACACACATGTAATTAAAAAACTAAATGATTAATTATTCAGTTGGATTTAGTTACCTTATTTATGTCAGATACCGGTAAGTCTTCTATTCCCTTTCTTGTTGTTTCCTTCATATATATATATATAATTTAATTATATAAACAATTATAAACCACATAGCACCTGCCTGGACGTAGCGCCTACGCCTCGGAAGCTGAGCTCGAAGTCTCCTAACCTCGACCTAACGTCTATGGAGGTTAGCTCGAGACGCAGCTTTGACTTGGCTGACCTTAGAAGACTTCGTAAGGGGTTGGGTCCGACTTAGCTAAGTCAGAGTCACAGCTAAGTCTCTGTAGTTTGGACTTATAAGTCCGAGCTACGTCAAAGCGAAGTCCCAGCCTTGCCCACACAACATGAACACTGAGAGATGAAAAAACTGACATATATTGGCCTTTAGATAAACATCTACGCATCAGAATTGGTCAGATTTGACACTTGTAAGTCGAAGTTGGTCACGCCACTGCGGCCCAAGCAGTGGCGTATCTATGCATGTTCTTACCAAGCATCATTTGCCGAGCAATGGCTAAGTCAACTAAATCCTTACCTAAAACATCCTAAATCTAAGCGTCTTTAACACATATGTTGATAAATCTAAGTTAGACTTACTTAAGGTTTGCCAACCTACGTCCGGGCAACTAGACAAACTTCTGTTGAATGTCCCAAATATCATGACTTATTCACGGTCACTCCAGACATGTCGTGAATCACCCGATTTCTGGGAAGTATCAAAAGTGCAACTCGCCTTCGTCACCTGCGCCCTTCGGACACCATGGAATGCCAGTTGCCTTGAGGATGGAGGCGATGGGACATTGCAGATCCAGTTTGTGCTGCCTGGCTTCGACTCGTCCCCTGATAAAACCCGGAGGCGTGGGTTTAGGGGAGGCTGCAACGCTGCGGAAAAGTTCATCGATCAAGGGGGCCTGGTGGCCAGAGTTCAGGTGGGTTCCCCGCCTTGGGTGTCTCTCAAAAAGGGGAGGACCTGGAGTTTGCCAACGCTGGAACTTGCAAGATAATACACCTGTGCAGCTTTTTGGAAGGGTGTACCACGACAATGTTGACAACCTTCAGTGCAAGCAGCGTAGTCAGTTCTCTGCTGGAATGGCTGATGGATAATAAACTCTATAAGCGCAGGCTGCATGGCCTTAATCCGCCTCAAAACGAAGCATACAGTAGATCAAACATCAAGGTCCCTTCGATGGCATAACCAAAAAGTTAAAATAGGGTCCTGCAGGAGCTGACGGATGACCGGAGAAAGCCCTTTCAATCGTCCAAAAGCCTCCTATGGTGACCTGCACCAAAAAAGAGAACATTGCAGGTGTTTTTTCCCCAAATAGCTGAAAGCTGTAGGGGTTCTTAATGGTTCTTACTTCTCAATGGGTGGCGTTTTGCTCCACCGCTGCCACTGCTGCCTTGTCTCCCTACTTGTCCTTTGTATGCTGCTTCTGCTCCTGCTGCTGCCTTGTCTCCTTGCTTTTTTTCTCCCCAATTGTCTCCACTTGTCTCCGCACTTGTCTGACTGTGTGATCAGCTTTTTGTCCGCCGCTGCTGCCTCGTCTCCTTATAACGTGTCCTCCCCATTTGTTTCCTTACATGTCATCCCACTTGTCTGCCTGCCTGATTGCTTTTTGTTGGACCCACTGACTGTCACTGGAAGTGCTCAGGGCTCTTGTTTTGAATCACTATGAATTAATACAAGTACTTGTTTTTATCTGAGGACTATGCCGGTGTCTACAACAATTACCCTCCATCCAATAAACCTGGAAGTGGAGGATGGCCTGTTGCAAGACTGTTTTCCTCTACGATTTTCCATTTCCATTGAGGGAGAAACATGTTGGGGGGCCAAACCATGAACATCGCAGTGGGTTTGACCATCCAGCCTGGCCTAGTCAGTGAGATGTTCATCTGAAGGCCCAGATCAGCCCCCCTTCACCTGGCGCGCGAGCTGGGCGATTCTGTGCGCTGCGAGTCCAGGTCCTATGTCGCGCCCCATCGTTTGGAGACCAGGTCCCTTTCTTTCGAGCCCTTCAGCTGAAAACAGGTTGTGTTAGAAAGCTGTGCAGTTTGCTAGGCAAAGCAGAACAAGCAAAATGACATGAATCTTATTGGCATCAAAGATTTGCTAAACAGCATCCACGCAGCCCAAGAGCACTGAGTCATCTGCGTCTATCAAATCCGGCAAATGTTCATGCATGGCTGCATGATACCAATTTGCAAATTTTCAAGAGTCAAAGAACACCAAACTACTGCACTTCATTGCCAAGATTACAGCCGGCCCCCGAACCGTGCTTGATTTTGTGCCAAGGTGCTATCTCGAAGACCTTTGGCTTGGCAGTTGAAGCATCCTAGCCCACTCCATCCCATGTCCAGGAAGCAGGGTAGATTATGATGAATCATGTGGCATACCACATCATACCACATCAACGGGGACGGGAGGACGGGACCAGCTTGAGACCTCAGTTGAATCAAAGACCCTCGCAAGCCTGTCAAGTCACACACCCCAAAGCTGCAGGCCAGCTGATGCTAGTGAGCACCAGGTAAATCTTCACCCCAAGGTTCAGCAAAAGAGCTAACGAACTCTTCTGATGAACATCACCCCAACACCCTCTTTGCTGAGGTCCAATGAAGCGGCTGCTCAAAAAAATAGATCTCAAATGGATGCACCACCGGCCATCGGTGGTCAAAGACCACAGAGTCTCCATAGACAACATTGCCCAAATACGATGCTTATCAAGCAACGTGTTGAAGTTCCATTGCTGAGGAACAAAAACATGTATGAGTCCATGTGATCCAAATCCAACCAATCAACGTGGTGGATACCAATCATTGACCACCAATTCAGAGTAGAAGGTGTCTTTTTCACTGCTGAGACCAACTAACTAACATGCTTGAAAAAAGACCCAACTCGCACGCCATCTAAAAAGCCCCCAGCTCGCGACCCCGTCCTGCACTCCACGGGTGCGGTCGAGCTGCCCACAACGATGATCCCTGGGCGCCTCGTCGTAAAACGGCGCATCGATGTAACCGTGGAGCGAAGCACACAGAACAATAGAACTAATAGAACCCAAACATTACCCACCAGGGTGAGAGTGTTGTCTCCCCAAAATCTTCAAAACCTGGATAGTCGATAGACCGATCTGTTTTTCCCCTTTTTGTTTAAGAAATTACAGTATCACTCCCACCCCGAAAAGGCCATGGCCGTTCCTCGCATGGCTCAACGGCCACGGCGAGCTCGCCCGCCGCCCTGATGAGGGCGATCCTTTCGACTCCGCGGTCGACCCCGGGCCTGCCATCCGCTGCCGAAAACCGGACAAAAGGCCAATATTGCAACCAGGTTTGTAGTCTTTGTCCCCCAAACACTCAAGGAACCAGGTCACCTTTCAAGGAAGTTCTCTGGCGAGGTGGTTCTTGGGGTATGGACATGGAGATGTTTGGAGAAGATTCGAAGATGATGTAAAACACAATCAGTGGTTGTTGACGTCCATTAATGAATGATCGAATTTACATTTTACAAAGAAAACATCTGGGAACATCTGAGTAAAATCTGTGAACGTCCCAACAGGTACGAGTATAATCGAGTATGTATATATAAACAACATATAAACAATGTGGAGTCTTTCTACAGCCCAAACAGGCTTGTTCCAACAGTCGAGGCACCTCGTGTCTGTTCAACGTCCGAGCGGCTGAACGGAGCGGGTTTCGCCCGCGAGCTTCCCGGGTGTCCAGCCATTGGTTCTGCGGGGCGGGCAAGTTGCGCTCCAAAGCGGTCCGAGTTGCGGCCCGAGGTGTGGGAGGGGGCGGATGGAAGATGTAACATGCTGTACTTAATCTCCGAACGGCCTCATGGAAGTGGAGTTCACCACCTGTTTGTAGTGAATTTCATGGTCTTCCATGTGAGTTTTCGGGAGTGTAATGTCTCTGCAAGGTTGCCAAATTCAAGACATATCCAAACTGCCATTCTTGGTAGTGGCAAGGTAGCCAACTGTCAAGCGTGCAAAAAGGACAACTGGATTGTTAGGGAATATTCATGTCCGCTTGTACATTGGATAATGTATACAATATAACTATAAACAGTTCGAACTTCCATCTCACCACTGAGATCAATAATCAAGCACTGCAATACACCATCAACATCACCTGGCACAATTTCCTTGCTTTGCTCTACCCTACGACAGACCCAAAAACCATTTCCTGCACGTGTCCAGGTCTTGGGCAACACCCACATTGCGGTGGCACAAACCCATTGGCCTTGGTTCCAAACTGCCTATCTACAGTCCATTCTGTCGCTCGTATCACAACAACGCGAGTCGCGAACGAGCTGGATCCCGTGGATCCGCTGGCGGTTGCGGATCCAAGGGAGCACCCAGAAAGCACGGATTCTGGAGGAAGCTTGCTGAACAAAAATGGTTTGCCAAATCATCACTACCAAGCCTTGTTTTTTCAATTATACATCCATCCCCAAGTCCCTGGTTCACGCTCAAACCGAGAAGAGCGCTAAACAAAAAAAGGCTGCAATCTGATACCTTCTGACGTATGTAGTACAACAGTAAAAGCCACGAGTATTTGGAGAACTGGAGGGGCGGACTGACTATCAGGACATACCGACCTACCCAAACATACCCCATATTTCACAAACTGATCAGCAGCAATTGACAACATTGCCTAGGCACCAATCCAAGAAACAGCTGGAGCTTCACAAATGTGCAGGAACACCATCAACAAAGTCCAAGGCACACATCCTTCGCAGAACCAGTGGCACCTGCGTAGGATCAGAATCAGCACGGAATTTCACCCAGAAAAATTGTTCATGATATATATATATATATAATGATTCAAAGTTGTTGCAAGAATTATATAATCTTACTTGGGAAATCATGATTGAAGCCTTGTTTTCTTGGTAGCGAATGGAATTGAGGGATTTCTACAAAACACTCGAACACACCATAACACACTCAATCACACACAACACCATTGAACGCAAGTCACCCAGAATCCAGTAATCAAGAATAGCCGAATGCCCTATTACCAACCAGCAGCTGCCTAGGGTCTAGAGATTTGCAGGCATAGTCAAGATGGTGAGGCCAGGTCTTAATTAACTCTAAACAATGAGGAGAGCGCCATCTGCGGCGCCTGACAATGGATGTCTGCTTCACCCTCATTCGGAAGTCCCCTATGACCTCCAGCTTCTCCTGCCCCAACGAAACGCCGATCCAAGACTCTCCACATGACGCATGAATCTGGATAACTACTGCTGCAGAAATAACTGTTGCTTCTGCTGCTACTAGAACTACTAGTGCTCCGATTAGAACAAATTGGTGGTCAAAGTCAAAGGACTTGAAATCAGCCCAAACTGTACCATCAGGTACTTCCGTATATTACTCCACTTCCACTGCTACAAAGAGGCCAAAGTAGCTCCCTGCCAATAGAACATGTATTTTCCATTCATTTTCCAGCCTATCATTTATAAGAATTTGACACGCCAGCGCATACTTCCCCCCCCAGCACATACGCGCAGGGAACCCTCTCCCGTTGCATCCGGACCACGGTCCTGCGGCGTCAAGAGCGATCGTCGGTCCACCACCTCAGGATCGGAGAGACGATGGGTGAGAGCGGTGAGACCGATCGGGGAGATGTCGGACATGGGAGATGGACTCCTTCAGTCCTTTGGCCAGGTTGAAATGGTCAGTCCTTCACTCAAACAGGTTCAAAATGATTCAGCCACTGGGCCACTGGGTGAGGAGAACATCATCCAAGAACCAATCGTCGCTTTAAAAACACAACATCCTTGATATCATCACCCCTCATACCAACCATGGGCACTGTCTCCGGAAATGGATCACGAAATCCCTGACACCCCGGACCATTTTTCCCTTGGAACATGTTAGGTTAAGCAAATCTTCCACCCGTTGGATCTTCCGGTGTCTCCAATCTCAGGCAGGTGACCCAGGTAGGGACGTGCTTTCTGTGGTTTTTCTTTGGGTGTGAAGGATGGCTCCCTTGGCCTCTGATGGTCGCCGTCTTCCAAGGTCCCGGCGCCCAAGTTCATGAGGGCCTGCACGGGACTGGCACAAGGGACTCACAGGGACGAATCTTGGAACGACCTGACAGAAGCCAAAGATCAACCTGAGAGCCTGAGAGCTGGTTGCCTTCTTCTCGATCTTCTTTTTGTTGGATTCTTTGGGATTCTTGCCTTTGAGGTGTCAGCTACCCGGCTTTTGCATGTGTTGCTCACGTTGAGCCTGTCAGCATCGATATGGTACCCTCTCTCTTCTCGCCCACCGAATCACCCGTATCTCTGACCTAAGTAACGTACTTAGTAACTTTGAACGTTGATCAACGACCTGGGCAGCCCAGGCCATTGGGGGAACATCTGAGAAAAAACGAGCTCGATCTATTTTACCAGCGAGAACCTGCCCGAATCCGCTGTATTTTGTTCCAATGGCAAAGGGCTGCTTATCAAGGAGGCATGCATTCGAGCGCGGGGAAACCAAATCATCTTCAGTTGAAACATGTTGAAACAATGTGATGTAGCTGCGCCAAGTTGGCCCAAACTCTGAGGAAAGGTAGATCCTGTCCAATATCTAACCATGAGCACCCTATCCCCACAAATCCAAAGTGCAGGTGCTTGAATCTAAATAAGTTGACATGATTGAATATGTTTGTATCGCAAACAAGGCAACCATCAACTGGCTACTCAGTGCTACTCAGCATTCACATCCGAAGAGCGCCTGCAGCTGATCCTCTGGATCGCGGATGGCGCCCTTCTGACCTACCAGGGCTCGGGCGAGCGCAGCTCGAGCGAGCGCAGGCTGAGTGACTTCTGCAGTGACCCGCGACCCAACAACTACGGGCCCATCTTGGATTTGCGATACCTGGAGCCAGGAACAGCATGGACCTTTTCTGGAATTCTCCAAGGAATCAAACCAT